ACTGGAGATAAGCGCCTGCCAGATGGGCCACTTGTCTCGTATGCAGACTTGGTTTTCTAAGTTTTTAACCCTCTTTTTACCTTACTTGTGAGAGCAAAGGTCTGCTCGAACCATAACACAAAAGATCCTGGGAGGAAAGCGTTCAGCTTTTGAGAGATGACTGAAAATTTACTAGTTTCAGTTTTCATTACTGTCGGTTAAATTTTGCGGAGGACGAGGCTTAATTATGAGTATAAACCAAAACTCGCTTGTACACGATAAAACATCCAAATATTGGTTTCAATAGCAATCATCACACGTCATAAGGAACACACACGTGACTTTGGTTGCTGTTTTGCTTTCTAAAAGTAGACGCAAGTTCATTGTAGTCCACAATAATAGCATAACATCTATACTCAAGTTTGTCCATTATCCCTCTTGCCGCATCATCAGAAATAAGGTATGGGAAAGTCCTCGCTGTCGAGTAAACGACAGAGCGAAGCACGAAGTGCTAGAGAGATGACAAAAGGGAAGGAGGATGGGGCGAGTTGTATTGCCCGTGACTTGTTAGCTTAACTGGCACAGCTCCATATCATGAAGTTGTTTATATAATGCTACTGACGTCATTGCCAGGGCTCATGAATATTCTATAAGGTTTCAATAGCTGTAATATTTTCATACTTAGGTCAAGTATCACGGTACTTTGAAGCCAGCGGATACCTTTAATGCTGCAGACGACGCCGAGACTTTAAAGAAAGCTATGAAGGGCTTTGGTAAGGAAGTCAAGTTTAAAGTTTAAAGACTAAAATAAAATTAAGAATTTTGTTGAGACACCATCCCATATTGTTTCGGTGGCAGAATACAAACCTTTAAGACTAATTGTTACTTGTGATTCTATGTCAATCTTTATTGGCAGCAATATCATACAAGCATTTCAAGAAAGAGATACTGATCACATTTTACTGGCTCCATTGTAAAATCCTCCTCGATTAGAGAGAGTGACAATCACCTCGTATAACATTAACATATTGACATCACCGTACACATGAAGCAAAAGTTTTAGCGTCTGTTCCTTGCGGGTTCCTCAGTTGGTATTGTGTAGATTAATATTTTGATGAATCTGTATCAACACCACAACCTATATCACTACAGGCAGTGACGAGGAAGCCATCATGGCGGTGCTCGGAGCACGCACCAATAAACAGCGACAAGAAATTGCTGCCAAGTTTCAACAGGAGTATGACAAGGTACGCTACAGCTTAGTGATCAACTGCTATTCTCTCCGCCTAAAATTTTAATACTTAGTCTACGATACGAAGCAGGAGAATAAAAGATCTCATCTCTGTTGTCAATTTTGATATTAAATAATCGATTTTTTCTAACATGTTATGTATACCTGATTGTACTTGATAATCTACGCGGACAAAGAGAAGTG